TTAAATTATACACAGGCCCTACATACGTGTGAGGCAGCGTGGTGAAATCAGGTGCTCGTAAAAAAACTGAAATTGAATTGGCATTTTCCCCGCCATTTTAACGGAATTCTCCTTTTTTGGCTCAACACCTTTTATGTCCATATATCAGCACATTTTCTATGTGAATTTTACTGAAAAACCGCGATTAAAGGCACAAAATACGTAATTTTTCAGTTTCAAGTGATACCATTAACTCCATATGCCCAAAAATTGACGAACACCTGATTCCATCATATCGTGTCACACATATATATACGTACAGCCCATCACCCACAAAACAAAAAGAATTTCAGGTCCCCAATTCACTTTTATACACAATGTATATATATAATATATATATTCTTTGTATTAAAAACACGTACATTATGAAATTCCTACACAACACAAAGATTTCTGCGCCCCGCTGATTTCGCAAAGTGAGTGCTGGACTGTACAAAGGGACCGCTGTCTATTCTCTAGTCTTGTGAGATCAAATCCAAAAATCCAACCTCACTTTTGTTTTTAAAAATAATACAAAAACCAACAATGATAACAAATTCTAGCTCAGAGTGAATAGTACCAAAAATATACACATGACATACGCTCGTGCCATAAGCAACAAATCTTTCAATAAAATAAAAGTCGACTGTACTGCCGTACGCTGACAAAACGCCTTTTTCTTATTCACGGCAGTTTTGAGGAAAAACGTTTTTCCCGTTCTTATATAATATTTAAACTATTTTGCACCGTACATCAACGGTTGATCTCGCACCCTGAAGAGAAATATCATTCCCTGTGCTCAACAGATGCTACAGGAAAACCGAAAATTGTTGATTTCTCGAAACTGCTGTGAATAAGAACAAGGCGTTTTGTCAGAGTACGGCAGAGTACCAACACAGTTGGTCATCAGTATTTCTCTCAAACAACAGAACAATAACCGATCACACACCACAAGTGGTATAATATAAGCACAAACACACATTTCCAACAACAGATTTTTTCACAGTCTCCCATCAACCAAGTTATAAATCTACACAATGATTCCTTTAGGAACTTGTACACAAATCAGTTCTATTCTAATTCTTAAGCACCGTTGACACGGAGGTGGTAAAGTCTCAATGAGAACAACAATCTCATTCAGTTCTATTCTAAGCAGTATTCACACTGACTTGGTCAATTACCACTGTGCCATCACAAGGCTCATATAGTTAAAAACCCTTGCCATCAAAGGCAAAGCCATTTGGGGGAAAATCCAAAGAAACTGGGTTTTAAACATCGCCGATCGGCGAGATGTGACGGCAAAGTGTTGAAAACTCAAATGAGACCAACAATCTTCATTCACCTCGCAGGGAGAAAATTGACTTGGTTGTTTCCAACAACAATTGTGAACAACAAACATTTGCGAGCGCGCCATTCAGGAGTGACTGGTTCAAATATCACGTTACCCGGCCTTGGGAGCTTCTGCGGTATGAACTGTGAGTGGTTGGTGGGTGCTCTGGTGTGGTTTGCTCCTTCTTTCCTATCAAAAACATCTGTCCTGACCCCTCCCCCTTCTTTTTTTTGCTTGTTACTCTCTTGTAACACCTCTAATCTTTGACACTTACATGACCTTATTGTGTTGCAAGTGCCGTAAAACTCTTAAGAAAACTAAAACAGTTTCGATGACTACGTCTCAACAGGACAGCAACTCATTCACAAGCGCCATTTACCGGTCTGGTTTTCTTTTTGTTTTAGTGACCGTTTTATGGCACTTGCAACACAATACGGTCATATAAGTGCTGAAGATTAGAGGTGTTACAAGAGAGTAACAAACATAAAAAAGAAGGATAAGGATGATAGTTGTTTGATAGGAAAGAAGGAGCAAACCACACCAGAGCACCCGTCAACCCCCCACATTTATCGGTTTGGTTTGAGTACAGAGATGCATATTATGGACACAACAATGGACAATAAAAGCAAGGAAGAAGCAAGACGGACAGACAGACATGAGAAAAGGAAAGAAAAAAAGGTAGACAATACCAGTGGCACCTTCCACAAAGCCAAAGGTTCACACCATCCAACCACCAGTCCAGAGAAAACACTGCTTAAAATCGAGACAAATCTACGACACGATACAAGCTCTGAGCATTCTCTCCCGTGAACACACACAACACACCGGAATCAGCTCCTTGAGGCTTTGGAGACACATACAGACACCGCTTTTTTTAGGTCACAGTATGAGCGTGACATTGATAAATCAGCCCATTTACAATTCTACTGTGCATTAGAACATGTTAATACACCCCCCTTGGGAAAGGCCTAAAAACAACTTTAAGCGCCGAAGACTAGAGGTGTTACTAGTACTAGAGAGTAACACACAAAGATAGGAACATAAACAGGGATAGTTTTAGATTTAGTAGAGGTTTTACGGCGCTCGCAACTGCATAAGGTCATATGAGCGCCAAAAGACTAGAGGTGTTACAAGAGAGTGGCACACACAGAAAAGAACATGAAGAGAGATAAAAAGACGATAGATGTTTGATAGGGAAGGGTAAGAAGGAGCAAACCACACCAGAGCACCCGCCAACCACCCACTGTACATGAGCATATCTGGACTTAGTGATACACAAAATGGAATAAATAATACTAAATTATCGTCGGGATGTCAGTCTGTCGCAACAGCATCGCCCGACGTCTGAAGCAACCCATCACATGAGCCTCCCGCTCCCCTCACACACAAACATATGTGAGGCAGCGTGGTGAAATTAGGCGCTCGTCAAAATAATGAAAGTGGAGAAACTGGTATTTTTCCGCAGGTTTTCGGGATCTTTAAGGAATTCTTGTTTTTCGGCTTAACCCCTTTTATTCCCATAAAAAAATTAACTTCCGAGTTGATAGTACTGAAAAACTGATTAAATGCACAAACGATGTACATTTTCAGTTCCCACGAGCATTCAAGCTAAGGAAATAACTAAACTTCGGCAGCCATTTTTTTGCTAATTTTACCTCTGAAACCAGGTGACCCCACTTCCTTCAATCGCCAATTTCTCGATTTGTATCCAAGAAATACTTTTTTCATCAAAAGCAAGGCAAAAGGACAGGCTTTAAGATGATACCAATACCTCCACAGGCCAAAAATTTGACGAGCGGCGCGCTTAATTCCACCACGTCATGACACAAATATGTAGCACAAATGTCGCACGGTACCACAGTAATCAGCTGACACGTAACAAGAATCTGGTAAGGAACGCGGAGACTATCACAAAGGAGCCCTTCACATCCAATTCAAAGGGCGATAAAAACTACCACGGACACAAAACAACTATCTACCACTGAGGTGGAAAAACATTAATCACAAGCAATTAATTTATCTGGGAGAAACTAACATCTGCGCTGAACCCCAAGATTCAAACCTATTCAAATCCACACTAATGAAAAACACCACTGAAAACAAAGGTTATTTCTCAACAAAATCTTAAGCACCAAGCGAAAATGTCTCGGGAAATAAATACCGAGTACAGATGTTATAACAGAAAAACCCCGTAGACTTTGCATCGAGTACAAGGTCCATCAATTTCTCATACCGGGGAAATAATAGGGGCGCGAGGGGGGGAGGAAGAGAGAAAAAAGTACAGAAAAAATGCCCACAAAATAACCAAAAAACCCCCCCAACAAAATAACAAACAATACCAAAACAAAACAGCGCATGTCATGGAAGACAAAGGAAAATGATCACAAACACCTCATCTTGTTAGTCTAGTTACCGTATAAAAAGATTCCTCATTTTCTACCATCACCCCCATCAGGAGCGAAAAGATGTTTTCAGCTGAATGATTTTTGACAGTGACGAGAACCGTGAGTCAGCACGGTGAAATCAGGACCTCGTCAAAACAAGCGATTCAAAGACACAGATATACAGTCAAACCTGCCCTGACGGCCACCTCTATAAGACGGCCACCTGTACAAACGGCCACTTTCCATTCCCCCCCCTTGCGTTTTTTCTATATGATTTAACTGTGTAAAACTGGCACCTGCCCAACGCGGCCGCGGCCACCATATTTTAACACACAACCCCTATCACACTAAGCAATAACACCTGTCTTAGACAGCCACCATAGTGACTTCATTACGTTTTGTCATAAATTGTGCTTTGGCCCCTGGCGTTGTGGGCGAGCCGTCACAATTCAATCACCTGTCGTTGTTGTTAGGTAGTCCCTCCAACCGATCATGTTGCGTAGGCCCCTCCCACTGTTGACCAATAGCTACAAATTTTCAGCTGCTGGTGAGGTAAGCGTGTGATCCCTCATAACCCATGAGTCCCGCCCAGAACTCATACACAAATCGTAAGTGAGATGAGAGGTCACTGTTTACCCAGCCTGTAACAAAGTAACAAAAGACGTCAACATGAACTTGTTACAGAAGTGTCCCTCGTTCTCCGAGTGGTGGCGACCCATGTGTTTGTTTTAACATGGCACTCGGTCTTCCTTGTCAGATACATTTCGTTTTATTGTCACACTTGTGCAAAATCAACAACAAAATAAAAATTACAAACGAAATACAAACCACCACCACCACCAACAACAACAACAACAAAGACAACAACAATGGGGCTACTTTGATAGGGGCCTCAGATGGGAAATGTTTGTTTTCTTCATCTTGATCAGTCCTGCCTAAGACAACCACCTTTCTTATACGGCCACTTTTCTCCTTGACAATGGCTGGCCGTCTTACACAGGTTTGACTGTATTACTGTTCGTTGAGCAATTTTGAGAGAATATTTTAAAATTCAAATTCAATCAACTTCTTTTATATTCATCAAAGGCAAAGGCATTTTGGGGAAAATCCAAAGAAACTGGATGGTAAACATCGCCAATCTGCGAGATGTGACGGCAAAGTTTTAAGATGAACCCCTTACCTCTATAAACATATATGCCCAAAACAAGACAATGACGACCATCTGATTCCACCGTGTCGCAACACAAACGCTACCGTCCGCTCAACCCTGACCTTCCGCTCAACCCTGACCTTCCGCCTGCCCCGCATTCACAACCACCTCGGCCGCGACCTCGTGCTGCGCCGCCATTTCTTGATCTGTGTCGTGTACGTCCCGCGGGGGAATCTCGCCACCGACTCCTCCATCTATCGTCGCGTCTGTCACGCCCGCCGCCATCTCGCTGGTCCCCGTGTCCATGTCATCGTCAAGGTCATCTGTGATGTCACAGCTAGCGTCCTCGCTGTCGTCTCCGTCACTCCCCAAGAGAATATCGTTAATGGTTTGGCTCATGTCCTCCTCCCCCCCCATCAGATGATGGTGCGCCGCTGACAAGGACAGCTCCAGACTCGACTCCTCCGCGCCCGACGAAGTCGCCTTCCCTTCCGCGACGACCGACACCACGTCGAAATTCACCACCGCTGCACTCTCGGGAGAGCGATGACTCACTTCCTCTTGAGGGGCGGCTTCATCCTCCACGTTTTCTTTGTCCTCGGAAGAAACGTCGTCGCCAGCCTCAACCTCCAGCGCAGACCCACCACTATCACCGATAACGTGAACCCTCATCGGGATGAGCGGTGAAGGGAGATTACTGTTGCTCCCGGAAAATTCAGCGTCCAAATCGACCTTGACCTTCCGTGGCCGAATGGTGAGCGGCGTCCTCTCCAAGGTCTTGTTGACGCGGAGGGTGAAGGTCTCCTTGAACTGGTTCATGTCAGCCTGCAGCTGTAGCGCCTCGGCCATCACCTTCTCCTGCCTCTGTCGCAGCTCGCCCAGCACGCGCAGGTTCTCGTACATGAGTCGCAGCCCTTGGCACAGGTGCTCGTTCCCCGCGCCCGGCGGCACTGCCTCCCCGGACATGTAGCGGTCAAACTCTGTGGTGCTCAGGTTCAGAGAGTCTGCGTTGATACTCTCGATGAAGGAGACCGCGCAACACTAGGGGGAAAAAACAAACAAAAAACGTCAAAATTTCTGTGAGCAAAGTCCGCGCTTTCAAGAAAAGCATAATCCGCGCTTTTAACTCACAAAGTTGGTGAAGCAGTAGCCCTAATCCCCGTGGCCAGAGATCACAGTGAAATTTTTCACCAACCCCTAAACTTTCACAGTCGATCCAATAGACTTTCGTAAATATTGTGCCCCCCCCCCCCACGCTTCATCAGTTTAAAAAATGCAAAATAAACCAAAGAAGAAGAGGGGGAAGGTCAGTTCTGGTTCACCTCCAAACAAAGGAGAGTGCATGTTTTCCTTACAGCTCGTGACTTCCTTTTCCCCCCAAGCCATCTCACTCGCATATTGCAGGGCGCCTTAGGGCCGATCTCAGGCGACTCCAGGCCTACCGTGGCCCGGCTAAAGGCCAGGGCGGAATGACCGCCGAGATTTTGGGAAGTTCTCACAATCATGGAAAATTGCGGATCCATGGAAAACTGTGATCCCTGCCCGTGGTCTTCCCCTTCATCTCTTACCCTGAGAAAAGCTTTCAACTCACCAGGTCGGTGAAGTAATAGCCCTCCTCCCCGTGGTCTCCCCCTTCATCTCTTACCCTGAGAGAACAGCACTTTCAACTCACCAAGTTGGTGAAGTAGTATCCCTCCTCACCACTCATGAGGCGCGTGGGGTTGGCGAAGCGCGTGATGTACTGGATGTTGGACTGGAGCAGGGGCGGGTTGGCCTTGAGCACGATATAGATGAGGGCGGGCAGGAACTCGTCGGCACTGGCCGGCCCTTGCTTCGACTGGCGCAGAACCTCGAAGATGTGCTTGCTGCAGCTCACGATGCACTGAAGCTTGTCCTGCGTGGCTCGCTTCGAGTCCAGCTCTATGATGTCTGAGGACAGGCAGCCAGGGGGGATTTCATTGGATATTTGTTTTCTTTTCATGTAGTGGTTTTTACACCCCTGTCAACACAATTTATATCACATACACATAGGTGCCAACTTTTAAAAACTGAAAGCAGTGTCAATTGGCACGATCGATTCAGTTCAGTTCGGTTTGGTTTGGTTCGGTTCGGTTCGGTAGGTGGGGGCTAGCCTAGATTGAGGGCTGAAAAGCGACCGTTGTGGTAGAGACCGATCGCTTGACTCGCGGCCACGAAATCAAACGTGTTTGGTTCTCAAGGCTCTCAATTCAGGCGATCAGTTTGTATTAGAGAACTGATCAGCCAATGGGCACTGGATATACAGTCAAACCTGCCCTGACGGCCACCTCTATAAGACGGCCACCTGTACAAACGGCCACTTTCCATTTCCCCCCTTGCGTTTTTTCTATATAATTTAACTGTGTAAAACGGGCACCTGTCCCACGCGGCCGCGGCCAGCATATTTTAACACACAACCCCTATCACACTAAGCAATAACACCTGTCTTAGACGGCCACCTTAGTGACTCCATTACGTTTTGCCATAAACTATGCACTGGCCCCTGGCATTGTGGGCGAGCCGTCATAATTCAATCAACTGTCGTTGTTGTTAGGTAGTCCCTCCAAACGATCTTGTTGGGTAGGCCCCTCCCACTGTTGACCAATAGGTACCAATTTTCAGCTGCTGGTGATCCCTGATAACTCATAAGCCCCGCCCAGAACTCTTCACAATCATAAGTGAGATGGGTGGTGACTGTTTACCCAGTCTGTAACAAAGAAACAATGGACGTCAACATGAACGCGTCACTCGTTCTGCGAGTGGTGGCGACCCATGTGTTTGTTTTAACATGGTACTCGGTCTTCCTTGTCTGATACATTTCGTTTTATTGTCACTCTTGCGCAAAATCAGCAACGAAATAAAAATAACAAACAAAATACAAACCAACAACAACAAAAACAACGACAGTGCGGCTACTTTCGATCAGTCCTGCCTAAGACGGCCTCTTGTCTTAAACAGCCACTTTTCTCCTTGACAATGGGTGGCCGTCTTACACAGGTTTGACTGTATTAATTAGTGGTGGGCTTCTGACCCTGCCTGTCAGGGCCAACCCGCGCTTAGAGGGATACAACATCCCAGCAGAAAGACCCGAGATACTCGGTAAAAATTCTCCCTACTTGGGATTCGAACTGGGGTCTCCTGCGTGCGTCAACAAAGCATCTGACCACTACACGACAGACACCAGTAGTTTGCTGAGTGAGGTCACCTGCCTTTGTAAGAAAGTGTACAAATGTACAAGTTTTACGCCCTTATCAACTCTATTAGGTTATTTAACACTTACAGTGCCTCGGCGACCAGACACACAAAACATAATTAATCAACGAACGGACGCACTGCACTGAAGTAAATACCAAAGGAAGTCACTCGAAATGATAGATGAATGGGTGATGAACCTCTAGGGATTTTGAAAGCATGTTTCTTGAGCTGCCAAGGCTTTTTTAATCTAAAAAAAACCTTCTACCATGACTTCAGCGATCTAAAATGGTGCAGTACTTGGGGGGTTTTCACATATGAGCCTTCAGTACTGTATGTGTTAAACGGTGTGTGTGCAGTTGCGAGCGCTGCACCACACCAAAAAAAATAATTTAAAAATTTTTTTATTTTTTTTTAAAATGTCTTAACAATGGCTGACCTGTGATTGCACTGTCCAGCTCGTGCCGAATGGTTGGGTCGTTCTCGTTGATCAGAGTGTCCAGCTGGGTGGCGGTGACCCAGTGAAGGCTGCGGATGCGGGTCTGGATGGCCAGGTCCCTCTCCTCGTCCGTCATGGTCAGGGAGTAGAAGATGGACGGGTAGAGGCGAGTGAGGATGTACCTCTCTGTGTAGTCCAGTATCTTCTCAATCACTTCTTGGGAGAAACCTGAATACAAAAGTTCACAATAATATATACGTGTGAGGCAGCGTGGTGAAATCAGGTGCTCGTCAAAATAATGGAAAGTGAAGAAACTGGCATTTTTTCTACAGGTTTGGGAATTTTTATCAATTTTTTTTTGTATTTTGACCTTTCATTCCCACTAAAGAACACATTCATGTGTGCATTTTACTGAAAAACGTTGATCAAAGGCATGAAAGATATAAATTTTGAGTTTCCACAGACTCTCAAGTTAAGGAAATAACTCAACTTTGGCAGCCATTTTCTCGCTAATTTTACTGAAACCAAGCAACCCCCACCTCCTTCAATCACCAATATCTTGACTTGTATCCAAAACAAATGAATATTTTTTTCATGAAAAGCAAGGCAAATGGACAGGCTTTAAAATGAAAACAAAAAATTAATTTACAATTTAGTCGGTCTATTTTTTGCTGTTTGTCAGTCTAACCATCATTATTAAGTACAGCTAGCCTAGCAGTCTAGTCGTCATTAAGTACGACTAGCTTCTTTCTAAAAAAAATCCTCAAGGACATAGATACCATGAGTTTTCAAAAACCCTGAAGAATTTGTTAAGTAGTAAGTATGTAACTGAAACCAAGTTTTGGATAATAATTTGATCATCATATCAGTGATGTCAAGTCCCACATTACATACACTACTGTGAATCAAACATTTAAAAAATAATTCTACATTCATTAGGAAAATAAAAAAAGAACTTACCTCTGAACACCGGTTGAGTATTTAGTTTATCAGACAAAATGCCATAAAAATCTTGCACCATCTCGGATAAATCCAGTATGTTCACATCCTGATTGTACTGTATCCGTTCAATAAATCCTCGAACCTGTCATAAAAAGAAAGACAAATCCGTCAACACTACGGTGAAAAGTCAATGAGAAGGCAAACAAATCAACGCATTATTTCCTCACAGTAAAAAGGTCATATAAGTGCCAAAGATTAGAGGTGTTACAAGAGAGTAACAAACACAAAAAGTGAAGGGAAGGGAGATAAGGACGATAGATGTTTGATTAGAAAGAAGGAGCAAACCACACCAGAGCACCCGCTGACCACCTACAAATTTTTTTTTCTTTTCAGGAGTGAGGCAAATGTGTTTCCTTCTTTTAAGAATCGTACCTGCGTAACAAATTGTTTTCTTGCTTTTTTTTTTAACACTTAGAATCCGAATTTCAACAAAATATTTCTCATGCACATGCAACCCATACCACAAAAGAAGAAAACGCAATAAAAATTATTTAAATTAAGAATTCTGGGATTTGTACATTTGAAAAGCTGGCCAATGATACATCAAAGGGGGAGATGGGAAGAAGTGTAGACAAAATGATCGTGACCATTCAGTGGTAGGAGGAAAGCAAAACAAGAGAACAGGGTAAAAGATCAAGAGGAAGACTGCGTGGAACCTGGAGAAGAACCACAGAAATTGATGTACAGAAAAGTCGGAAGACATGGAATAACATCAAGAAGCTAGCCCAGGATAGAGAAAAGTGGAAAGTGTTTGTCCGTGGCCTATACCCTGGTGAAGGGTGAAAAAGGCAATGATGATGATGAAAACAATAGACCGAACAAGCAGAGGCACGGAGGGGGGTGTCAAAAGAATGAAACACGCAATACTTTCCTGTGGGCGGTTGGTGGGTACTTTGGTGTGGTTTGCTCTTTGTTTTCTAAAAAAAATCTGTCCATCTCTCTATCCAGTAACCTTATACAGTAGGACATGACTATAGCAGCACCCGCTGCAGCAGGACCATCCCTACAGCGGGACCGTACCGGAATCCCTTTTGCGTGTAGTGTGTGATTTTTCCCTAATTCCCCTTTGCATTCCTGTAGCAGGAACTTGTCTGCAGTGAGATTTTTCTTCTGGAACTAAAAGTCCCGCTAGAGCAGTGTTCTACTGTAGCACAAGTGCAAAAGCAGTGTGATTAGAGTAAACATGCAAAGAGTTTACTGTGTTCAGTGGCGTAGCAGTTAGGCCCCTCGCTGTCGCACGCAGAGAAGAATTAAATTCGAACACCGAGTAAGAAGAATTTGTTATTGCGTATTTCAGCCTTTCTGCTGAGAACTTGCGTCTGTCTCAACCTGGCCTGGCCCTCACAGGCAGGGTCATAGCCAGCCTCCTGAATGATCTAACTAGCGTCCATCATCAACGCCTTTCACCCCTGGCAGGGTATAGGCCACATAAAAGCTCCTTCCTAAACCTCTGTCCTGGGTCATCCTTCCAAGCTCGTTCCAATAAGCTTCATCTCTCTCATGTCCATTTTCACGCATCTCCTCCATGTTTCCTGAGGCCTACCCCTGCCTCGTGCTCCCTGTGGGTTCCATTGCAGTGACTGTCTTGTGATGCTTCCGCTGGGCTTGCGTCCAAGGAGGCGTAAAAAAAAGGAACCCACACACACACGCAAAAAGGAACACACAAAAAAAAACGGCAAAGAATTTACCTGCTTAGATATCTCAACAGCAGCAGGTTTCCTGCACAAAGATCTGAGAAACTCGGCAAATTCACCACCGATTTTTTGGCTCTCCGAACTAGCTCTGCGGGGTTCTTTCGTTCCTTGACTAGCTTGATTCTCTGCTGAACAAACACACGTTCAAAGACCATCGTTAGTTCTAGTAAGAGTTTTACGGCACTTGCAACACAATAAGGTAATACATAAGTGCCGAAGATTAGAGGTGTTACAAGAGAGTAACAAACATAAAGAAGAAGGAGGAGAGATAAAGACGATAGTTGAAACCATTGTTAGTTCTAATAAGAGTTTTATGGCACTTGCAACACAATAAGGTCATATATAAGTGCCGAAGATTAGAGGTGTTACAAGAGAGTAACAAACAAAAAAGGAGGAGAGATAAAGATGATAGTTGAAACCATTGTTAGTTCTAATAAGAGTTTTATGGCACTTGCAACACAATAAGGTCATATATAAGTGCCGTAGATTAGAGGTGTTACAAGAGAGTAACAAACAAAAAAGAAAGAAGAGGAGAGATAAAGACGATAGTTGTTTGAGAGGAAAGAAGGAGCAAACCACACCAGAGCACCTGCCAACCACCCACGAAAGACATCGTTAAGCCAGCAATCGTCCTTCTTGTCACAAACAATATGATGTGAGACATCATTGTGAAATCAGAAGTTTGTCAAAATAAAGAAATTGAAGACACTGGCATTTTTCTGACCTTTGAGCAATTTTTTTCTAATTTTATTTTTTGGCTCAACACCTTTTACGTCCAAATTAATAACACATTTTCGTGTTGATTTTATTGAAAAACATTCATTAAAGTTACAAAAAATGTTATATATTCAGTTTCCAAGGACTCTCAAGATATGAAAGTTTCCAAACTTTGGCAGCCATTTCTCACTTATTTTTACCTCTGAAACCAGACAACCTAACCTCCTTCAATCGCAAATATTTTGACTTCTATTCAACATAGACTGATATTTTTTTCACCAACAGCAAGGCAAATGAACAGGCTTTAAGATGATACCAATAACCCTCACGTGCCCTAAAATTGACGAGCGCCTGACTCCACCGCGCCGTGACACAAATAAGGACTGTCCAGCACACACACATAGCCAACATGCACGTAACAGATGTTCAGGTTTAGAATTTTTCTAATACACATATGTATATTCTTTGTATTCAGAAACACATACATGGTGAAATTCGTACATAATGAAAAGACTTTTATTTTGTGTCTCGCCAATTTCACAACGTCCCAGCTAGACTACAAGTAACTCAATATTCGCTGGTTTCTAGTCGCGCGACCTCAGTACTTTCTTGGCCAATCTCCATTTTTTTTAAACATTGAAAATGTGACTTCTTCTTTGGCTCACTCTTTGTTATGAACTGTTTTCACTGTTATTAAAAATGGAGAAAGGACAAGAAAGCACTGAGGTCGGGTAGTCATTCAAGTAAAATTATTTCTTTTCATAACATCTTCACAAAAGAGCAGAAAATGTGTAGGTTTGTTGGCCTTCACTCGCTTGGTTTGCCTGCTCTCAAGCCTTTTCCAACATAACATGGTGAAATTGTATGTCGACATTTTTTTTTTTTTTTTTTTTAGTAAGGTTTTAAGGCGCTTGCAACTGCATAATATAAGGTCACATAAGCGCCAAAGGGTGCATGTCAACGGAAAAGTCCAAACGGAGAATCAGGCTTTCTCTGTTCACATCTCTAGCCTCAAAAGCACAAAGTCTGCTTCAATTATCAAGGCACCTCGGAAATAGCGGGTCACAAGAAAGTGACAAACGCACAAAAGAAGTAGAGGAAAAAATGACGAGAGTAAAAATGAGGAAAGAAAAAGCAGCAGTTCCCCCTATGTTATTCCAGCACATTATGAATGAGCATGACATTGATAAATCAGCCCATTTATAATTCTGCTGTGCATATAAGAACATGTTAATATCCCCCCTTTGGGAACGGCCTAAAGACACTTCAGTCAGTAGCACTGCCCTGGTTGGGCGATTTAACGTTTGGAGGGTCAAAGTAAGTTGTGAGTAAAGGCAAATGTTGACCACTTCACACACACTTGAGTGATAACCACTTACCTTTGTTAGGCGTCTTGCGGAGGAAAGACTTGAAAGTGTTACTCCTTTTGTTGACTTGCTGTGTCTTCTTCTCCTCAAATCGGGAAAATGATGCCTTCACATCGGCCAGAGCAAGGACTCTGCAACAAAGCAAAGATCATAACAAACAAATTAGCCAACTATAATACGTGTACACTGAACTATTACATTTAGTGTTTAGTAACACAACACGATTAGGTCATATAAGAGCCAAAGATTAGTGGTGCTACAAGAGTAACAAACACACAAAAAAGGAAGAGAGATTTAAGGATGATAGAAGTTTGATAAAAGAAAGAAGGAGCAAACTACACCAGATCAGACACCAACCACCCACAAGAAGAAATAAGGGCGATAGATATTTGATAGAAAAGAAGGAGCAAACTACACCGGAGCACCCACCAACCACCCATGTTGTTTTACTTAAAGAATTTTATTGATAAAACGGAACGAACTTGTCCTTAACAATGAAGTGCTGGAGAGAACTGGGATTGAATATATTATAACCATGACCATGAAAAGGAGAAGTTGGAGATGTTTTTATGACATGTCTTCTTGAGAATGACAAAGACAAGATTGCTTTAGACACGCAAAGGAAGCTCCATGTAGGACACCCAAGGTTGATACCAAAGTGGGGAGGATCTTTATCGTGCACGTCTGACATCTTTCTGTAGAAATGTGTATCCCTCTCAACTCAGATTGGCCCTGAAAGCCAGGGTCGGGGGCCACCTCCTAAATGATTTAAACTGTGTTGATGGAATCTTAACCCTGGCCCCCTGAGGCAACCCAGCCCCAGTACCTGCCTAACCCTTGCATAGAGCGCTATTGCCCTCAGGGTGCTAAAAGCCTACTAGGTACACAGTCCAAACTGTCTAAGCCCACGACCCATTGTTGATGAGAAACGTGGCCGTCTTAAACAGGTGGTCGTCTTACACAGTGCCACTTTGATATAAAAACTACGCAAGGGAGGAAAAGGGAAGTGGTCTTTTGTACGGGTGGTTGTCTTATACATATGACCCCAAGAGCAGGTTCGACTGTATTAGCGTGGAGCATAATCGCCCCCAGGGAGCCACTCGGGTTCATAGGGTTAAAAATTAAAACACCAACATTTTAAAAAGAAACAAGATTTTTCCCTTACTTCTTTGCAACTGGAGAAGGTTCCGATGCTTTGGCTGCATCGTGTTGCATCTGCGCTTGCTTCGCTGGCGTGTACACTTCTCTGTAGCATTTGCTGCAAAATCCTTGCCAAGCCGGGTTGCCATAGAACCCGCACCCATTTTTGCACAGAAGTTCAGACTCGTCAATGTGAAAATTCTTTTTCTTGTTCTGGGTACCTTTGACAGACATTTTGAGTACACTTTACTCTTTCTTATGTCAGGAGAATGGTGCAAGTCGTGCCTCATCAGATGATGGCAGAAGATGAAAGATGCTGCAGTATGAGTAACTGACTGGAACCGGTCACTCTGCGTCTGCTCCGTTCACAAACTTAGCAGCACAGCTGGCCACTGCTTTGGTCTGAAAATGCAAAAAGACGGATTCTGCTTTAGAATGAGCAATATTTATAAATTAGAATTCTATATTTCTAGCCAGTAATGGGTACCTGACTTTCGAGTTGGGGAAGTAAAGGCGGCAAGGAAAGGAACTGGCCACCCTACCACAATATGCCAAAGGCCCAAGAAGTTGTCTCACTAGCAAGGCAATCCCCAATGTCTGGATCGGATGCGGGAACAACTTTACTATTTTCTATACTCATTTATCAGTTGAATATTTACAATTCTGCTGCTAAAAACATCTAACACACCATTAACATGAATTTCTCATTTTCAGATAAATATTAAAGCTTATCATAGGGATCCTGAGATAAAACGGAAGGACATTTGAAAACAACAATCAAAACTCATCTCAATTAAAACTAGTATCAACATGCCCATTATATTTAACGTTCATAATCACACCATTTTGCTCAGAGCGTGAACAATGACTGGAAGAGTACTGTGCAGCGCAAGTTGGAGCTGTCCAAGGTGATACTTATTCTAGCCTATCTTATCTAGATCTAGTCTATGGCGCTGTCATATTGTTTCAATATACGAAATATGACATGTAATAATCAAACGACAGCACACAGCAGGGGTATTCTTATATTTTCCCTCCCGTTTCACACTTAGCTCTACCAGTTGTCCATTTTTTCATATATGCGTTGAACAAGAATTATAACTTCATTTCCGTCGCAAATTTATAGTTTTTAAAATATTTGATGGTTTTTAATCGAGCTACATCTATTATTCTATATAACATTAAGCCTAAAAGCATAGTTAATTGCTCGAATAGGACCAATCGTGGGGTTTCAGCAAGGTGAGGGAGGCCTGTCCCCCAAAAGTAAAAAAAAAATCGGGGTTACAGGCATGCCCTCCTCTTTTAACCCATAATTAGATATTTTGAAGTTCTAGGTTTGAAATCTCCTAGAAAATAATTGATTTGCGACAGTTTTAGAGTGGCTTTATGATGTGTTATTGTTATCTACAGCAAACAATTACTGCCGCAGCAACTGCAGTTTAACACCCCCCCCCCCCCCTCCCCAGAGTAGCAGTGCATCTCTAGAGGTGGAGTGCGGGAGTGAAAGTAAAAATTTACCCACAGCCCAACAAAGTAGGTGTAAAATACTGATGGTATACTAGTACTAAGTTAACTCTGGTCTCTGGAAAGAGGCCAACATTAACACACAACTGTCAACACAGTGATACACACAGAAGAAGAGAGATGATTGTGACTAAACTAGGCTATCATCATCGGACGAATTAGCAGTCAGCAACCTGAGCTTGTGACGGTGCTGCTAGGCTAGATTCTAGACTAGACATCTAATCTAGTAATCTAGTCTACCTTCCATTTTATGACTGGATACAAACGTAGTCAAAATTTAATTTCTAGATCTAGCTCTGCATAAACACACTGACCGTTACATTTAAAAGTATTGCATGGAAAAGAAGACCCCAACATAAACATCTACTCACGAAGAGTCGATGCCTCATCGATCATTGACTTCTTCCTTCATGTTTTCGTCTCATGACTGACTTATCCCCCTTCTATCAACAAAAATCATGTGATCTGGACAGCTGTGTTGGTTAGTTTCGAACAACAGAAACGCGGACATCGCGAGAGAGTGAATAATGCAAGAGAAATAAATTAGGAATATCGTTAAATTCGTATATTTTAATTAGAATAGGAGAACAAAAGGCATATTCTAGACATATAAAAAGACATTAGATCATTAGACTAAACTGAATATCATTAACCTTTTTTTTGTTACTTTGGTTTTCAACATTTTTTTTTCGACTTGTTCAGAGAAATAGCCTGGGCCTTCTGTAATTAATTGAAAAACGGTAACCATGTAGATAATTATACAATACTCGATCACTTAACTATCACGATACATTCGCGCCAAATGCGTGTCGCGGGTGTATTTTTTATCAAATAAATAGCCTATTCTCTGACTCGTATACATGATCTGGTTTGAACAATAAATTATGAAATGAACGAAACTCGACTTTACTCGAAGAAATTTTGAAAAACTTGAAAAACTAAAAGAAACAACCCCCCCCCCCCCCCCCCCCTCAATAAATAGATTTTTAAAAATGAAAATAAAATAAAATGAAAAAAGAAACAGACGTTGGCTTGACTTTCGTCATCCGTCATCTTTTTTCAAACAATGGCCGCTATAGATTATCTACACAGAAATTTCTATGGAAATATTGTCGTATTGTTTAAAACGAAAAAGTCTCCTCAAGCAATACACACTTAATTAATATTAAAATTCACGATTTTCCGCTAATCGCAGCTATGTGAAACGAGACTAAGTCATTCGAATGCCATAATATTATATTACTTCATTATATTAACATTATTATACAGACAATGCATGTTATTCTAAAATCAGTTAGGTAAATTCAGAAACGCATAATATGTACTTTGGTGATTATACGTCGACCGGGTGATAAATCCTAGAGCCATCAATTCTACACGTATAACGTGCTCTTGTCATGGCTCCATGACTCCGGTCGTTGTGCTCTATGCTGGCTCTGCTAGGCCATATGATTCACTTGTGCTGTAGTCACTACAGTAGTGTGACTTCGAAACAACAAAATCACTCATCGTCGCTTCGAAGCGTGGCATATGTCCATATATGAGGTTAAATATCTACTCGAACTATCATACTATTCAAAATTTGTGTCCAATAAATTTGTTTTTTTGTTGTTGTTTTTTTGGGGGGTGGATTATATAATTGGTTGTTAGGGTTTAGTTTTTGTGGGTATTTTCTAAAAATTCTTTAAATGTTAGAACATCAATCCGCAACCACAGCTATAGATTATCTATAAATATAATAATACATTATTTTGTAGGTCTATTTACTGAATATCCACTGCGCTATTCACTTGGCGTGCTGGTTCACACACAGTGCACGATGACGTCACTGTACAATTTAAACTAATAGCTTTGAATTTCGAAGAGGGAAAAGGGGGAGCTCATATTTGCAACTTCTTATAACTGTTAAAGTGTAAATTTTTCTTTAATTAAAAAGCCCCCCCCCCCCACACACACACACACGCACACATACACACATACACATTTTGTTGTTGCTTAAGCCATGATTATGAATTCATGTATCTACATTGAACAGTGGTGAATACTTTTTAGAGGCACAATTATGTATTATGTTGTATAACTCTCCTCGTTTCATCCAAATATCACTTACTACTTACTGTCGCAACTATCAAGTCAATTATAACATAAAGTAGGCCTATATTATTATGTTGTATTTTACCATAAAGAGTTACGATATAATATGCTCTAATTTAACTACAGTGAGAAAAATGAGACAAAAACCAAAGGTTATCTCGCTTATATTAGTACTATTAGTAGATCAAATTTTACCAAATTTCACACAAATAACAAATACATAACAGGTAGGCTATATAGTGCGGAGCCTTAAAATCTGAAATCAAATTTGAGGAAAATAAAGTTTCGTTGCCATGCAGACGGTGGCCATATTGAATTTTGTTGACACGTCTTTCGCAATGAATACGTACCATACTTATTTTTCATAGAAACAGGTTATTATTTTGCATGCATGTTAGCAGATAATAGATTTACAAATTTGTGTGTTGAATTTTTCCTCTAAACAAATTTGAAAAAGTTTAATGAATTTTTTCCTGAGGTATTATAAGTATTCAATTTGCACAAAATCCGTGTTAAGACACCATGCACCAACAATAGAAATCTATTCTATGTCTATTTAATTATAGCCTATAAATGAAAATTCAGTGGACAAATTGTTAGTGTTACCATAAATCTTCCTAGTTTTTAATGTAACATATCTTCGATCTCTAATCTAATTCATTCTCTGAAAATTCAATGGAGATTGGATGAAAAACGGCGGAATTATTTTTTAAAAAGTATATGTATTACATATATAAAATAGAAAACTGCGTTTTGAGAAAATCGGCGATAAAGAAAAATAAAAGATTGCTACTTTATGAGGATGCCTGGTGGTGACTAACGCCAGGTATGTGACAAAATAAGGCTTTATGATAGGGGGTTCTTACGCGATGAAATAGTTGTAAGAGAAGCTGATACCTAGGCTACATCTCAAAATCCATAATTTTTACCAGCTGCTGCACCCACCCCACCCCCACCCCACCCTTTATCTTTATTAGAGGTGGGTTGTTTTTTTTAAAGAAAATATTTTGTGACAGTACAGAAATAACGACATTGACATTAATTACTATTGTTGTTATCAGCAACAGCGGGCTTTTCCTGAGTGCCATATATATCTTTTTAAAAATTTCAGTTTAAAAACTTCGAAGTAGCGGGACTTTGTCAGAATGAGCTCACAATAAAATGATGTCCAAACATAATCTAAAATATTTTGTTTGCTCCCACATGTTGATCTTTTTGATGGTCTGCATGCCAGCAATAAAAAGATTCCTATAACTGCTAGCATAGCAGACTAGGCTAGCATCGAATCTGCGTTTCTCGCGCCGCGACCCGCGAATCGCGGCCGCGATTTTTGGCCTTTTTCGGGGAAAAAAACCCAAACAAAACAAACAATCAAAAAAAGATCAAAACAACAAAAACCCACCGCCGGGGAATGAAAAATCGAGAGAAAAAAAGAAGAAAGAAACAGAATTTCTTTACTTTTAGAAAGAAAGTTATTTTCACTTCCGTTTTGCTTAAAACATCGCTCACTTGTCGACACCACGATTGATTTGTTATTTTCATGTGAAGAATGTATATTACATCTTATTTATATTGCTGTTTCTTTTTTATTTTTCCCTCTTTGTTGTGTTTTAATTTGTTGGTGGGTAAATTTTTTTCTTCTTATTGTTCTGACGTGCTGTGCGTTTTCTATTTTTTGTGTTATATAGGGTAATGTAATTTGATTTGATGTTGTTATCCTACCTTTTGTATATATATATATATATATATATAATTATATACACAGGACACATGTATATGTATAAATGTGTTATGTTAAATCTAATCAATATATTGCTATACGTCGTCACAGAGAGTTGAAAGCGTGAAAATGAATTGCAACTTTTATGGCAACTTTTGCCATTTTTTGTGGCAACTTTTGGCAAAAAAATTCCAACAAACGCAGCTGCGAGTGAAATATTGCCGCGAGATTTGTCATAGCATATAATTTGATTTTATCAATGCAGATCTATCTCCTGGGATAAGAAACGAGACAATTTTAATTATGTACTTTAAGCTGTTGGATGGTCAGCACCCATATGTTATAGCCTAGACATTATTATAGCAGAATAGGGCCTCTACTAAAGGAAGTGTCTGTATAGGGGCTCACTGAGCATCTAAGTCAGCACCTAATTCTTTGGTCATTTTAGGGCATGGCGGGTGCTGTTTGCTATTAATAGCATAAAAATAATTCTAGAATGTGTTTAGGAAAGAATAAATAACCACAGCTGTCGGTTCATACGATCGATTCTAGACATTTAAGGCCTTTGCCCATCAGGCCCTGAAATGAATGGATCACTATTTTCTTCCTTATTTGGCTTTCATGTCCTTATCCAATCATCTGTCTAGTCATTGTCCAAATTAGGAATGTGATAAAAATAGGCATTGACGCATTTTATCCAGTGACTGTTTCGTATAAGACTTAAAACTGTATAAAACCGCTGTCAGATTGAGAAGGTTTACATTGAAACAATTTAAGTCACTGCAGTTTACCAGCACTATTACAGTAGAGAATTATTATTTATTTTCAAGAACAGCACAGTTTCTGCGAGTTGGCCTAACGTTTGTCATCACTTGACCGGGAGAGGGCGCTGCAAGATTTCACGAGATCTTCACGGGAAGTAGATTTAGCCTACCATCCCACATTCACCATCGGACCTCTTCCGTGAACAAGGCTACCTATCCGTCGGACATAAGATCAAAACCATGGCTTCTGGGATTAAGATTGCAGATACTGTGAAAGAAGTATACAGCAGAATTTCTTTGAATTCTGTCAAACAAACAAAATTGAAATATGGTGTCTTCAAATTTGCCGATGACGGTGCATCTATTGTTGTCGAGACAACGGCCACAAATGCTGATGCCATGAGCTACGACGAACTGATTTCAGGTCTTCCAAAGGACGATGTCAGATATATTGCATATGATTTCGACTTCCTGTCAAAAGACAACGTGAAGACGAGCGAAATTGTTCTTGTTTCTTGGTAAGTCTGTTATTTATTACCTTCTCAAAGCCATGCCCCGGCTTTGGGCCATTGGTATTAGTCACGGCCACCGACATTTTTTCACTTCTCGGCAATTCCGAGATCCGGAAGTAGATCAAGGAGTAGGAGGTCCCGATTGATAACTGCTGCAATGCTGCATGTCTTGTAATTATATTGCCTACACCCACACGGGCTCGCCCCCCTGATTACTACAAATTATTAGGGTTATGGCTAGTAGACCTACAAGGTTTAGAGCTGGGTTTGGGGCAACTGTTAGTGTTAGGATTATAATCTAGATCTAGCCTAGATTTAGAAGGCTCTAATTGTGGTCCCTGCCCTGGTTAAGGAAGTGCTTCCTGCTTACACTTAAACTAAGTTACACTCTCCTTGATCTACAACCTGCTCAGTCGGCATTGTCTCACTCACAGACCAAAGCCAAAGATTGGCTAATAATTCATTTATTAGGCAGGATTATGATCCGGTTTAGGCCCCTGCGATTACTATTTCTATGCTGCTACTATCCTGCAGTCCTACTCTTGACCCTGCCCTAACCGCCTAACCCATTAATTAAGTTACGATTGATACTTCATTTTCATTACTAAACTCATTCCAGCCTTTATTCCAGGAGTTCCGCAGAGAGTTGGCCCTTACCGTGACATTGACAAGGTCCATTGACCAAACTATGTGAGGGTTAGGGTCCTGCTCAAAATTAGCAATGCCAATGAAAATTTAAATTTTCACTTTTGCCCCCTTTTTTTTGGTACCTAAGAAAGAATTTTCAATTCTGATAATTATGCTTCTTGAATTTTGAGAAACGGTTCATAAATAAAAAAAGTTATGGGGTTGTAAAGGTCGGCAAAATATGGATGACCCACATATAGGAAAATACTCCTAAAAAGTGGACCACGCAGTAGCAGATTCTGTAAGAAAATCGACGATATCTCGGTAACTAATCCAAATGTTCGAGAGAAACTTGGCTACCCGATGTGTTTTTGAGTGTAGAAATCATTTCTGCAGTCAGATTTACCACCAATTTCATAGTTATTTTGTTATAATTAAAATTGTGGTGTACATATTACGATTTTGCGAAAAAGGGGTGTTGGGATGAGTCCATTTTATTTATAGCATCGTATCACAACATGGGATCTTTAAGAATATATGTGGGCAGCGTGACTAAATAATTGCAAAGCTTTTTATGATGACTTTAGACCATGCCAACCGTAAAAGATAAATTAATTCAATCTAGCATGCCGTACAATTAAAAATTCTTTTTCCCCGTTGAGACGCGAACACCCCGAGACGAGATAACCTCGCCTCGGAATACCCCCATTGCGATGTTACAGGGGAATAGAGAAAAACAACCGGATGCGCGCGCCCGCCATTGCCCTATTTCAAGTGACCAATGAACGGGCCCGGAATAGTCATGCGGGGATTTGTAGGTCACAGACATTTGCCACAGGAGTGAGGGGAAAATGGCCGGTCTCCGTGCGAAGCCGCTTTGGATAGGGGGGTAGTCGTAGATTTACGATCGGGTCTAAACAACTACTTGACACAGTACTCTCAAATTTGAGCACACTATAGAGGATAGATAGATCTATTACCATCTGGGCGTTGAAATTCAAACTCCTTATAGTTTTCGGTGTACACGATACGAAAGTGTTCCCGACACCAAAAGTATAGGTTAATTTATGTGTACGAACTTCAACGTCCACATATCATTAGTTTGCCCTATTTTCTGATTGGTAGCCGAGTTTCATTCCGATTGGTTCGGAAATAGAGCAGACCGAGGTTGACAAAGTTAGTCACCTACGCTTCGTCCGGGTCCGCAAAATCGCCCGTAAACGGGGACCAAATTTTCGCCTCGCGGGAAAGCCCGATTGGCATTGCTATCAAAATATCCCCTCTTTTGTGTGTTGTTGGTTGGCTGGCCCTCTGCAGAACTCCTTCCTGCTTCCCTCATTCCTCTGGAGTTAGCCAATCAATGTATTATTATAGTAGCCTATCTAGCATGCTCACTTTGGTCATGAGGAATTTCGTAACAAGCGCCCGCGACCACTGAAACAGGAAGGGATAGTGTTTTGGGTACGAAATGACTATTCGGACTGATTCTTGTCCAGCATGACATCACTTCCGACTTCCTGTCACTCGTGACTCCGGCTTCCTGTCCTGCCTCACTCGTGACTCGCCTCAGGCTGGGTAGAGACCGGGATCACTTCGGGCAAAAAGGCGTTTTGTCCAGGAGCCGAGTTTTAATCTTATGATGAATTTGAGTGAAGAGGTCATCAAAAGCAATTAAAGATGGCTCGTTAGCGTGTGTCGGGGTCGGATGGGCGGCCTGCACACGTGTGGCTGTGTGCGTGTCAGGGAGGGGGGCACTATCGGTCCGGGCGTTGAACGTTGCATACGCGTCAGTCTTTTTCCCCCCCAGCAACTGATCATTATCACAATAATAAGCTAGTCTTGACGTAGATCTACGTAATGAATTGTGCGGTGGTCTATGGAATCAAAAGTTGCCGTATGCTCAGCTCTACACAGCAACACACCTTTTTCTTGGTAAACAATCGATATGACACAGGCTTGTGTATTTGAACGAATCGGTCTTGTTTTTTTTTTTACACAGCTCATAATATGCAGGTGCCAGGTGGTCTGCTAATCTTCAATTTTACCCTTTTTTTACAACAAAGAAAGTGGGGGGGGGGGGGGCGTATCAATGAGGCGGCGGGCATCGGATCGGCTGAAAAGGTGTGGGGGAAACTAAAAAATGGCGGAAAATTGGAAGCACTGAACGTTAGATCTATAGAATGAAGACACTCCCTTTTTTCCGGACCCGAGTCCGAATAACATATTTTCATATTCGGGCTCGAGTCCGAATAAGAATTTTTTTTATTCGGACTTGAGTCCGAATATGAAAAAATGTTATTCGGACTCGAGTCCGAATAACGACGGCCTTTTGGGTAACGGTTGGGTTATGGGTAGGCTAGCTCTTTTCCATATATATAGGCCTATTGTGTTTGTTGGAGTGGTCGCAGGTTATGGAAGGCCTTCCCTTTCATCTGCCCACGTTAAAAGAATTGCTCATTAAAAATTTGGCAAGTGCTATTTGCAACGCCGCGTTCTGAATAGCTCCCGTGCTATTTGAAACGCCAGTACTAGATCTAGAATCTAGATTTAGATGTAGTAGCCATCGTTTCTACATGATAATATTGTAGTTCTGCCTGAATTGTGGAAGCTTTCTCAGTTTTTTTATTAACCTCCTAGGATTTGACTCCTTTTTTTATGACGTTGTCTTATTCCGATCAATATTGGGTAGATCTAGATCTAGATTAGATCTAACAATTGTTTCTGACATTGTTTGCACAAAAGTAGACGTCTTGTTCATCTCTCATAACCATAATAATCTGAGTTAGAGTTTGAGCAAGTCGAAAGACGCTTGGATAACAACAAAACGGTGCAACTCAAACTTTAAGTTAGGCCTGGAAAACGTATACAAGCTGTTTACTGTCTACGTTCTGTAAGTCGAATGTTCAGTGCTTCCAAGCGTGGCATCGAATCCCGGTCCCGAAAGGGTTTTTTTTCCCCCCTTTCTCCTGAGCCTAAAATAAAAAATAAAAAAAATTAAGACTCACAGACCAAGGAAAGCCACTACTGAACTTTAGGCCTAAATTGGTAAAAGGAAAAGTATATAGGCTATACTAAGGCCTACTTTGTACAGAGCTCCTCTTGGGGACAAAACCAGAATGTGCATGCTTCATCACTACATAAAAAAAACTTTTTTACTCGATTGCGCATCGGACACACGGCCCTGACCCACAAATACCTCCTACAGGGAGATGAGAAGCCGTTGAAACTGTGTCGGATGCGACACAGATTTTACCATTAGACACATCTTAACAGAATGTCTGGACTTTGGAGAGATCCGAAGGAAGTATTATAAATGCAAGAAATTGCAAGATATTTTTTCCGTCGTTGTACCCAGCAGAATTTTGAATTTTATAAAGGGCAAGTTGTAAAATGAAAAATGAAAACGTACTATTAAAAATTTTTGTTACCTATAAGAGTTGTTTTAAATCACAAATATATTTACACTAAATTTTAATATTTTAACATTTTAGCATTTTAAAGCCAATTAGTTGACCAGTTGTGGAGTGAACTTTTGCGAAAGTAAACAACTTGTGTTTCGCGCGCTCATATGACCTTAGCAGTTGCAAGCGCCGTAAAACCCTATACTACATACATACAAGATATAATTATGGGAACAATTTGTTGGTCAGTCGAGAAGAGGACAACAACAACAAAAATACAAGGGGGGGAAAAACGTCCAGGACCGGGATCGAACCCACGCTAAAAAATAATGGTTTGACTTCAAGCGCAAACGCGCTGTCACTTCGGCTATCAGAACTTCCGATAACGATGTGCAGATTAAGCTTGATATTTTACACACGGCGACACTGCGTTTTATTTAGCACTGGCGGTAATCGCAACGCGGCGTTGCAAATAAGCACTTCCTAAAAAATTTGTGCCCATGCCTAGGAAATTCGCAGGCCAACAACCATATTAATTTTCAAGAAATCTGGAAATGACTAGATCTAGACTCTAGGACTAATCCTGTAGTAAAAATACAGTTGAGTAGGCCCAGATAGACCATAACACACGGACAGCTCGAATTAATCGGGGCTGGCCTCAGTAGTTCGCAGAGGGATATCTTACGGGACTGCAGGCACAGTTTGGCGGATGCGTGATTTCGAGTCTTCTGTGTTCGACCTAAGATCAAAAGCTGCTCTTTTGGTGGGTCATACTAAAATGCGAAAAGACATCAGAAATAGGTCTGTTTGTGATGATTTAAACTTTCTTGTCTTATTGTTCCATGTTGGTGTTGAAATATCACTACTTTTCAGTCAGTGATTGTCTAACATGGCACCAGAAAAAGACACAACACAGGACAAGAAATAATGATTTGATAAATTTCAGTAATGAGGGAATGCAATAAGGCGCAAGAAAATCATGCACAAGCTTTATTTATTATTTTTTTTCCACAATTAGGTCAGTGTATCAGTGTATGTATATTTCTGGCAGAGTTAGGTCCAATTATAAACCATTAATTCAACAGTTTAAAAAAGTGCACTAGGAAGGTTGTTTGCGATAAAAGATTACAATAGCTCTGAAGAGAGGCATGTCCATTGTGAATTTCTAAGAAGAAACTCAGAATCCCATTTGGACACTGCTGGTATTTTTATTTAGGTTCTTTGATGTGGTGGGTCGGGTCGAATTTCTCCTTTTTCAAGTCAGTGATGAAAAGTCCTTGAAGAAAGACTTCTCTGTGCAGTTCATTGATTGACCTTTTATTGTTCATTACAAATGACAGGTGACGATTTCATCTGTGAACACATAGATAGATTTACAGAGACAATGAATAATATCAGTATGGCATAAAATGAAATAACATGGTAAATGATGGTATACATCACATTTTATAACGTGCAGATGCAACTAGCACGATGAAGAACAACTTCATATATATAAGACATCATACGGTCCTTTGTTCCAAAGCAGCAGGACAGGCCAGTGTTTCTTACTTTTTCCCCAGAAAAGAGTTTGTGGTTTAATTGAAGGTTTACCAGTTTATAGACAGGCTTTGTATGCAGAACAGTTTACATTTTCTCTTTGGAGATTATTCAGGCTTGTTACAGTCATGGGCCAGATTTAAAATGTTTTGAATAGTTTGTTTTGGGGGAGGGGGGGGGGGTACCTTTGATCAAAGACAGACACACACACCCAGCTCTGTTGTTTCTATGGGCAATAAGGGGGGACTTGAACTATGCCATGTAGATCGGAGTCCATAGTTTGTACACAGCCAGTTTGGTTGTCTAAATCTCTAAGTTTTCAGCATCACAAACTTCCCTATAGCTCCACTCCTATTTAACCTATTAACATAAATCAAACATAAAACTGTAGAAACGAATGAGCCAAGCAATTAACATTACAGTTTGGTTATTGATCGATGGATTTACTGAGGTTTGGTAGATTTTTTAAAAACTGACACGGGATGCTGTGAACCAGCTGAGCTGGCACGACGTATTCTGAGAGCAGTCAACTTTGTAGTGGGAGCAGTGGCTGGTGGCTCAACTCACTAAAGTACAAGACTTCAACATCAGTTAAGGACCACTTGCAAATTTGGCTAAAATTCTCCTAGGATTTTTGTGCTGCACGTGGTAGCTTTGCAGTACACATTGTTAACCCGTTTACACTTTCAAAGCAAAAAAAAAATTGGAACATTCCTTGGTCTTTTTTTCGGATTTTTTCAAATCATGGCTTTCTGTCAAGGTGGTCCGTAACTTATTTTGAAGTCTGTATTATTGTCATGGGTTTTGTCGAATGCTCGGATAAAAGTTTTGGTGCCATCTTCCGAATGTCAAAAATGAGCCTTGGCAGTAGGATGGCGTATATATCATGTAGTGTGTGCATTGTGTAACATTTTCATAACAATGACTTTATCATTTTTATTCTCAGGGCCCCAGAAAAGTCAGCCATCAAGAGGAAAATGATGTGCGCATCCACGTTCAATTCTCTCAAAATGGCTCTCGCAGTGTCAAAGAATGTTTTACAAGGAGATTCTTTCGACGAAGTGGATAGCGTTGCAGCCTTAGATAAAGTTGGTGGAAAGCCACTCCCGTAATGTAGGTATGTATGAGAATACAAATGTACATTAGTGGTTCAGTAAATAATTGTCATTGTTTGCTGTGCTGTTTGTTTGTGGGGGGTTGTCGGGTTCTTATAATAACACTCCGGCATGCTCATAGCGAACCATTTTTTAAGTAACGTGTATTACTGGCGTTGACCAGATAACAAGGACATGTGGTTACTTGAGGGAGACATTGTGCTGCCAAGAGCGAAATGCTCGCAGCTAAAGGGATTTGAAAACAACAACAAGTAATGTGTATTCTGCATATTTAAACCACGTACAGTACCGGTACAAGATTTCAGCGTCCCGCTGATTTCACTCTATGCGCGTTCCAGACACTGTCAGTCATATTTAAGGACCATCATCTCCAGAGGGGTTATTTTCATATCAATATTGAAGTTTTTTTAGCCTTTGCCACCGGAACACCGGTGAGCGAGACCTTTTCTCCAACTCTGGGGCAAAATGCACCTGAAAAACAGTGTACTTCACAGGATGTTGTTGATTATTTTGAACACATTTCTGAATTAGATGCTGGTAATGGCGAGGACTGCCCTGAGGGGGATATGGAAAGTGATTCTGGTGGTCTTATTATAGATGTTGGTACATTGTAATTTAACGCTCAGGAGCTCAGGCAGAGGGGCACAGTTGCCTCAGGAGGTCAAGGCTCAAGGGGTTGAGAAAGGCAGGATCTTTACAAGTTTAGCAATTTGACAGGTCTTGTATGAAATTAGTGACAGATGGTCTACAGAACGGTGATCTCGCTTTAAATACAGGTCATCTGTCAGAAGACCTCATTTGGGTGTAAGGCAGACTCATAATAATTTTTGATGGCTATTTTGGGAGGAGAAAGAAATTAGTTTGCACGTGTCCATGTACTTGCTACATTGTTACTGTCACATGTCAGTGGCACTTAGTTTGGGCTTCTGTTTGAGACAACGGAAAACATAGGAAAAAGACTGATTTTCATTTTTGTCTTTCAGTGTCAGTAAAACTTCACCTGGTGTTGAGACCCGGGGTTATGTTGTTGAATATTGTATAAGAATACAACTCTGATCATTATATATGGATATCTGGGGGAGAATTGCTAACGTAGTAAAATTTTGAACAACACAAAAAATGTTGGAATTAATTCTCCAAGAGAGTATGGGTTTGATATAGAAACATGTTTTTCATTGTCGCTCCTTTGTTCTCTCTCACACTGTCTGTTGACATTGGTTTATCTGCGGCTTTGTCTTTCACCGGAAATTTTGTGGGTGCTCTTGTGTAGTTTGCTCCTTCTTTTCCATCAAACGTTGATCATCCTTTTTTTTCCTCCGTGTATTTTGTATTTACTCTTGCGTAACATCTCTTATATTTTATACTATGACCAATGTGTGTTGCAAGTACCCTAAATTTCACTAAAACACCCCTTCCCCAAAACTAGTCTCTCAATTTGCTATTCAATGTAGGCCTACTGCGTGCCTACATTTGTCCAACGCCTCAGTGGTTTTACACACTGTGTATATAGGTCAAATTATGCAAGGATAGCAGTTGTACATCTGTCACACAACCTTCGTGTCACAGTTGTACATCTGTCACACAACCTTCGTGTCACAGTTGTACATCTGTCACACAACCTTCGTGTCCTAGTCTATTGTCTCTGCAAAGTTAGTTCATATATGTGAAGTCAGGCATTTTTTTGGTTATGGAATTTACCTTTACATTTTTTATCACCAACTGGTCACTGGCAGTTAAACCGGATAGGTTTTTGGAAGTTTGGAACTTTGCTGTCAGCTCTAGCTATATATTCCCTGGTAGTGCATGTGGCATAAATGTTGGACTTGTGGCCCTCAGGAGACAAGGGGGACAATTGGCTGATAGGCTTCGGCCTGAGCATGTTAGATTGTGTAGGCGAGTCGACTGTCATGAATTTGCCGGAACTTTGCTGGATTTTGGCAATGTGTGACTGTCTATAAAACCATATCACCACACATGACATAACACCAAGACCAGGCTCAACTGGTGTAATGTTTATTGTTATGTGGCTCTGATTAGTTGGGGGTTTTTAAAGTTACCAAGCAAGAGTTGTGTAATTTTGCAAGTCTATTGCTCCCAACTGTAGTTACAATTAACCTGGTGTGGTTTGCTCCTTCTTTCCTATCAAACATGTATCGTCCTCATCTCTCTCTCTTCTTTTTTTATGTTTGTTACTCTTGTATTACCTCTGATCTTCGGCACTTGCATGACCTTATTGTGTTGCAAGTGTTATAAAACTCTTACCAATACTAAACAATTAGCCAAAAGTTTCATGTGTCCCGTGCGCTCATATGACCTTATGCAGGTGCGAGCGCCGTAAAACACTTTTACCCCAAAAAAACCCAACCATCAATTAGCCAGTGTTTTTATTTTGGCTTTTGTTTTCTGTCGCCAGGTGTGTTTTTCAAAGGTAGCGTCGTGGACACAGGAGCCGGGGGAGTGTGTGACAGGAGGGGCATTTGTGTTGGCCGTACGACCTGTTGACTTGTGCACTGACTGCAGATAGTTTTTTATGGTTGATTTTCCAAAGTCTTAGCTCTTGTGTAATGTTAGATAATAAGCGTGAATATTAGGGGGAGGCTGTGTCCAGTTGTTTTGGTTTTGTTGACTATCACACGATTATTTTTATAAGGCTGTGGCCCCTGTTATCTTTGCCCTCTTATTTTTGGTTACAATGACTGTTTTGTTGGGGATTTTATTTGTATGATGCGTTAATTACACAGGGTGGGAGGCTTTTTTTACTTTACGCATGATGTATCCATTGTGTTGTTTTTTGTATTGAACAGCAACAGTTACGGTCTGGGTTATTTTTGTTTTCAATAGACTGACCTATCAGTTAACAACTAATGCTAGGGCAGAACAAATTGTCCCTCCTGTTTTGTGAATTTTTTAATTTTTTTTTCTCTTTATGTTTTAAAAATAATTTCAACCCGCTTTTGTGTTCTTGTTTGTGACATAGAAATGTTTGGACTTTGGTATGTCATAGCCTCATCTTTTTCAGCCATTGTATTAGTAGTTTCAGAGCCGGGTTGTCTTTCTATCATCTTTTTTTTTTTTTTTTTTAACTTGTAAACCATAAAATGTTTGATTCTTCATTCAGTATTTCTTTCATGCCTGCCGTCTCTTTCTTATGTACTCATGATGGCAGTATGATTGCTTACTTTCTTACCTTAAGACCCTTTCAGTTCAGGACACCACTGTATATCTATAATACTGTGTAATTCTACGGTTTACTGAACTGCTCAATGTTATTGTTGGAAGATGAGTATTTCCTCGCCCGTATAAAAACTCAAAAACAAGGACGAAGTGTTTGTTAAAAGAATGTGCAGAATTTGTTTCATTCTTAAGTTATTTTGTCTTCTGGTTGGTCCTCGCGGAGTATTGACGAAAGACGTGCTTTGGTGGTGAGGTAGCTCTTGCCCTCTCCTGCAGCACTTTCTCCGCAGCGGGGGAGTTGGAAAATTGAGTCGATAGTGCCGTAAAACTCCTACTCAATGGATCGAAAGGTCGGCATGAACAAAGAATCTTGCTCTGTTACTCTAGGTGCAGATTGCTCATTGATGTCCTCCGTGACTGCAGCACATGTTGCTCTGCAGTACTCTCCACCCTGTCACGTTTCTGTCTCTGGTTGTCGTGGCGATGCACGTGAAGACTAGTTCTGACAACCGCGCCTCTGGGACGGTCAAGCAGACGGTTTGTTCCTCTCCTGTGGTGAGACTGGCTAGTGTGGGAAGACAGAAGCTTGGGGAAAGTGGGGGCAGGTCACAACGGCGCTCGGGGTCGCCAATCTTTGGGCACAGGCGTGGGACATATCAACATGATGCCTACTGTACTGAATTTGTTTGGGTTGGGGGTGGGTTTTTTTGTGGGGTTATTTTTTATATACCGTGATGCAGTTAACTTGTCATGGATTTTGTTTTAACTCAATGGAGTTTGGTGATCATCAGAGCCGCTATGTCGCGGGCAAAAAGAAGATAAAAAAAGAGTTGTACGAGGTACAGCTGACCACCCAGTATCTCGTAGTAGAGTCGGAACAAAACGGACGGGTCTGTACCAACAAATAGAAAGGGTTTTTTTTTTTTCTAAATTCACTATTTAGGTAGATATGTTTGATTTGGATTACTTGCTAGAAGTTTGGTTTTTTTAGGCGTTAGGAGTAGTTGTGCTTTTTTTTTTCGTTAATGAAATTTTGGAGTTGACAATGGGTGGGTGCGCATGCATTTAATTAATTATCTCTGTTATTACTAAGCACTTGTCTGGTCAAGATCAAATATTTAAGAGAAGTGTCAGTAGAGTAGAAACAGATCTCTACTTATGCATACACATCATGCTGTCTGTACCTTTTTTTTTATTCATGCAAATTAATAAATCTGTTACTACATACCTGCTGGTTCCTACCTAGTTTTTTGGTGTGCACCTCGTCAAGTGTGTTTGTTTCCTTGCTCCACCTCGTCAAGTGTGTGTGTTTCCTCTCCTCGTCAAGTGTGTGTGTTTCCTTGCTCCTCCTCGTCAAGTGTGTGTGTTTCCTTGCTCCTCCTCGTCAAGTGTGTGTGTTTCCTTGCTCCTCCTCCTCAAGTGTGTGTGTTTCCTCTCCTCGTCAAGTGTGTGTGTTTCCTCTCCTCGTCAAGTGTGTGTGTTTCCTTGCTCCTCCTCGTCAAGTGTGTGTGTTTCCTTGCTCCTCCTCGTCAAGTGTGTGTTTCCTTGCTCCTCCTCGTCAAGTGTGTTTGTTTCCTTGCTCCTCCTCGTCAAGTGTGTTTGTTTCCTTGCTCCTCCTCGTCAAGTGTGTGTTTCCTTGCTCCTCCTCCTCGTCAAGTGTGTGTGTTTCCTTGCTCCTCCTCGTCAAGTGTGTGTGTTTCCTTGCTCCTCCTCGTCAAGTGTGTGTGTTTCCTTGCTCCTCCTCGTCAAGTGTGTGTGTTTCCTTGCTCCTCCTCGTCAAGTGTGTGTGTTTCCTTGCTCCTCCTCGTCAAGTGTGTTTGTTTCCTTGCTCCTCTGTTTTGATACAGCAACTAACTGCTGCTTTTTCTTTCCTCATCCTTATTCCTTGCTATCGTCATGTTTCCTCTACTTCACTCTCACAAGCGTACATGTGTGCTTCTTTGTGTGAGTGCCAGTGATACATGTGACATGTACAGTGCAGCTTCTCTGTAACATCGTCTGTGTAGCGACGTGGTACCCAGGTCCCCGATTTTTTCCTTTTATATAAGATATTTCATCAGTAATTTTTGGTTCCCTCTCTTATAACAACCTCCGATATAACGACATCGTCTGTGTAGCGACGTGGTGCCCAGGTCCCCTTTTTTTCCTTATAAATTCTATCATTAGTAATTGTTGTTTGCCTCTCTGTAACTACTCTCTATACTCTATTATCTGTAACATTTTTGTTCTGGTCCGGACGATGTCGTTTGAGACCGAGAGGCTGCTCTGTACTACACAGCAACTGTTTCTTCCTACTTCTGGTGCTGCTGGCCTACTTTTCTGTGGACTTCACTTTGATTTGGATATATTTTTTTATTTTAATTTATATATTTAGATGTACTGTTGGACCTGTTATTGCTTCATCAGTGGGTGGTTGGTGGGTGCTCTGGTGTGGTTTGCTCCTTCTTAAGATCTTTCCTATAAAAAATCTGTTGTCTTTATCTCCCCTCCTTTTTTGTGTTTGTTAACTCACTTGTAACACCTCATGACCTTATCATGTTGCAAGTGCTGTAAAACACTTACTAAAACTTTTAGATTAATGAGGAGGTGAAAGGAGACAATTTAGAGAAACATGTCGCTTGCCGGATTTGAACCCGGGACCAATTGAACTATAACCTCTAGGCCACGAATATATACATGACATGTATATTTCCCGTAGTGCCATAAAAAAAAATATTTAAAAAAAACAGTTCGGTAGCGGCACTTTGTCAAAATGAGCTCACAATAAATATAGGACTATACAAACATTATATAACATTTAAATATATAAACCAAAATGTATAAATCTGTTAGCCCCACATATTGATGTGTTTGATGGTCTGCTCGCAATAAAAAAAGAGTCCGTAACTGTATAACTGCTAGCAAATATTGCCGAGGGGTTTGCCACAGCATTATGAATTAATATGTTCTAAGGTTTTAAAATATAAATGCAGGTTTTTTAATGCCCCAAACCGACACAATTTACATCACGGACTTTGACCATGTCAGACAGAGCCGACCCAGGCCGAGAGGGATACAACATCCCAGCAGAAAGACCGAGAGAACTTGAATTAATGGAGGAAGTCAAACTCAGGCCTCTTGCTGTATGTAACAGCGAAGAGCCTAACCACCTAGACCACAGAGGTCAGTGGGTTTTTTGGTCATGTTTTACGGCGCTCGCAACTGCTTAAGGTCATATGGGCGCCTAGGGGTGGATGTCAACAGAGAAGCATCGACGCTTAACGGCAGCAGAGAATGAAAAAGAAAAGGTCATGTTGTCTAGCAAGGTTCTATCGCCTGCTTTCGACTCCACTTTCTGCCCCCACCCATCACCTCCGTTGCCCCCTCCACTGGGCTCCTGACTCTTTCTGCAGCCTTTCTACTGCTACTCCCTGGCTCATTCTTACTGCTGTCTTTCAGCCACGCCCCTGATCTTATGGTTGGAAAGATTTACACCTAGCCTTCTCGGACAAGGACGAAAAATCTCGGAGGTCCCATGTGCAAGTTGCGCTCGTTAAAGATCGCTTGGTGGTCCAAAATCGATAAATAAGAGTAGGCTTCGGCCGCCACCCGGGAAAAATTCAAAATGTCCTACCAACTGAAAATGTTTAATGTGTCCTGCGCGCTCATATGACTCAATATGACCGTATGCAGTTATGAGCGCCGTAGAACACTTATTTCCAAAAAAACAAAAAACAACCCACATAAAATGTTGAATGACGGCGACTAACTCAGCTAACTGTAAATCACGGGTTCCCCTTATCAGTATCAGTCATGTGACATCAGTATCATACAATTTTATTGATGCCTCGTACTTTAACTTAAACTTAACAAGCAAGATAAAATCTCCATTCCCCTGATTACATGTCATGTAGTACCAAGTGGCAGGGCTAAGCACTAACTGTGACATCCATCATATTATAGTATAGGACTATAGGCCTACACTCACGATAGAAAACGTCAGACTCTGATTATACACACCATTGCACAGGCGAGTGGGTGGTTGAAAGGTGCTCTGGTGTGGTTTGAGGTTTGGTTCTTCTTTCCTATCAAACATCCACCGTCCTGATCTCTCCTCCTTCTTTTCGTGTACATCATGTATGTTACTCTCTTGTAACACCTCTAATCTTCGGCACTTATATGTATGGCCTTATTGTGTTGCAAGTGCCGTAAAACTCTTACTAAAAAGACAAAAACAAAAACACTATTGCACAGTGGGTGGTTGGCGGGTGCTCTGGTGTGGTTTGCTTCTTCTTTCCTATCAAACATCTATCATCCTTATCTCTCCTCCTTTTTTGTGTTTGTTACTCTCTTGTAACACCTCTAATCTTCGGCACTTGACTTATATGACCTTATTGTGTTGCAAGTGCCGTAAAACTTTTACTATAACTAACTAACTATTGCACAAGATATTTTACTGACACTATACATTTTTTTAGATTTCAAAATTAGTGCACTGATAAAAAATACACATGTACTTGTGGTGTCATTTAGTATAATATGTCTGCACAACGTACTCTGTACAATGGTCATTAATGATTGGATCTAATCTATACTATACGTTCTTATACTGACCGTCTAGGATCTAATCTAATGTATGGTATAGCCAAGACAATGATGTAACATACGAGGTATACGCGGATGGTTGGAGGGCGCCACTAGACTACATGTAGTAGATCCTACTTCTTTGCTACTTTTTCCTCTGTTGTTTCTGTCCGTCCGTCTTTTGTTTTTAGTAACATGTAAGTGGTTTTTTTACGGCTCTTGCAACACAATAACGTCATGTGTAAGTGGCGAAACACAATAACGTCATGTGTAAGTGGCGAAACACAATAACGTCATGTGTAAGTGGCGAAATTAGTAGAGGTGTTACAAGAGAGTAACATACACAAAAAAGGAGGGGCGATAAAGACGATAGATCATAAGAGATGTTTAGTTTGAATCGATAGAAAAGAAGGAGCAAACCACACTTGAGCACCCGCCAACTACCCACTCTGTCAGTCTTACTTTTTCCTTGCACTAAATGAGCATAATTGTGTTGAGGTGCTTCCCTTTACTCAAACTTTTTTTTTAGTAGAGTTTTTACGGCGCTCGTAACTGCATAAGGTCATATGAGCACCACGGCTGGGTGTCAATAGAGAAGTCTTTACAGGGAATCAGGCTTACTCACCTCTCTAGCTTCAACAGCTCAAAGTTTCCTTCGACTATCAAGGCACCCCGAAAAAACAGTTCACAAGAGAGTGACAAACATGATACAAAAGAAGTAAAGGGAAAAAATATGATGATAGTAAGGATTAGGAAAGAAAATTAAAAAAGCAGCAGTTATCCGTTGCAGTTCAGGCACAGTTATGAGCATGACATTGATCAATCAGCCCATTTACAATTCTATGGTGCATAAGAACATATTGTTATGTTGGGAATGGCCTAAAAGACACTTCAGTCAGTAGCAACTCAAGCAAACAAGGGTATAAGCGAAGACAAGGGTTGCATTTGGAAATACAAATACATGGAATCCAACCACAGTGACAGTTTTCTGTTGTCCTCAAGTTCAGCTATTATTCAGTGAAAAGACGTTGTTGCTGTTAACATTATTATTACCGGGTATGCTGCTGCTGCTCTCTCTCTCTCTCTCTCTCTCTCTCTCTCTCTCTCTCTTTTTTTTTTTTCTCTCTCTCTCTCACTCACTCACTCACACACACACACACACACACACACACACACACACACACGCACACACACACACACACACTCACATCTATTTCCCTGTATTCTGTCCCCATCGTTTTATGCAAGAAAAATTCAGAAATTATGCAAACTGAGCCCAAAAATGTGAAATTATGCGATTCTGTTAATTTTTAAAAAGGATGAATAAGGAAAATAATTTTAAAAATTATGAAAAAATGATCAAATTTTGCTAAATTATGCGGGGTGCATAAAACCACGAGGTCAGCTCCCCCACTCACAAAGTTAAGAGTTGTAGAGAAGAAGACAGAGCCAGTTGCTGTGTGTCTTCCTTCCTTCAGGTTGGTCTGTCTATCACTATCTGTCTGTCTATCTGTCTGTCTGTCTGTCTGTCTGTCTGTCTATTGTTGTAGTGCGTCACACGCTGGCTTAGTGGGCGGCGGCCACAGAACTGGTGGCGAGACAGATGGTGATTACATTACATGGTGTTGTTTTCGACTGTTGTTGGTTTTTTTTTTTTCCTTTTC